AAGCGAAGATGTTGATTAAAATTTGCTTATAATTAAAATAGTAAAAAAAATATTAATGATATTAATTATTAAAAATTTAACTTTTAAAAATTATATTCATTGCTTACGTTTAAATACATATAAATATTTACAATAAATGATATAAAAAATACTAATCAATTAACCAATTTAGTAGTTATTGAGATGTGATATATTTAAGCCACATTTCATGTGAATTTTATTCTATTCAATTTTTATTGGTACTTAACATTACATAAACAATTTGTTAATCAAAATGCAACCCAACCTTAAAAGATGTTGAATAAACATACAATTTAGTGGTATTACAATATCGTGCATCATTAATTATACATAAAATCACTTTCTATACTTATCGGGTTTGCCTCACATAAATAATAATACTTATCAATTAAAAAAAATGTTATTTACCTTTTAGTATGCCACAATATAATAAAAAAAATAATACAAACAAAACTAGCACAAAAAAAAACTTAGTTTCTCAATTACTACATGATATTAAATGCGTAAAGGAAGGTCATAAAGGTGCTATTAATGCTTTGGAAAAAGCAAATATAAGAATTCAAGATCTAAAACAAAGGAATAGAGAGTTAACTACGCAGCTAAAAAGTACACGTTATGAGAATACCATCCTTAAAAAAATAATCGAAAAACATAATAGATCCCACGTTGAAATCCAATCGAATTTAATAGACCAGAATGAATATCTCTATAAACAATATCACCTTTTTGAGGATACCATTTCAATGTTAATACACGAAACTCAACGTTTTGAAATACACAACGAAACCTTGGAATGATTAAATGAGAAGTACAACGAAACAATAACACAACTAACTTTAGATTCATATAGACCAAATATTGACTATGCAGGTAATTATTTACTCTTTCGATTGTTCTTAGTATCTATTATTAATAATTATAAATTTAGTTTATATTACAAGTCCTGAGGAACTATGAACAGCTAATCAAGAGGGAGTGCGCGAAGAAATTTCAACTATGGTACAAAATTTAAATTTGTTCATCGCCAATACTACAGTAAGAAGAAATAATAATATATTATTGGTAGAACCTAATCTCTCTCGACACAATGCTTTTTACCTTGGTGAACCATCTCCTATTATTGAATTTAACGATAGAATTATAAATAATACTGATAGAAATTAATAGTTATTTGACTTGTTTTTTTTCTCTAAAAACTGATGAATTCATTGGCTTATACTATAATGTTATATAACAATATTTAATATGAAATCGATGTATTAAGTTATTAGATAGTGAT